AAATACCGAATATCAGGAGGTACCATTATATGGTGGCTATACGAAGACGTGGGCTTGCATATTGAAATTTTTGTCGACTGCTGTAGTACTCATTACGAACCTTGTAATTCGAAAATTGAAACAATTCAATGTCTCTGATACCATAAAAATACCGAATATTGGGAGATACCGTTATATAAGAGCTTCTAGCTGAACCCGGTGCGCTTCGCTACCCTACCATGCATTAAAAATTTTATATACGATTATTTTGAAGTTGAGTGGCATTTCTGTTGCATTAAGTGAATTCGAGGTAGCAACTTCACGGTAATAATCGTATCCTCAATAAAATTGTTGTGAATTTTTTTACTGTTAGCCCAATACCATTGCAGAGGCAATGCTGCTTAATAAAATCATATTCCAATCTGAACGGATTTCAATATAATTTGACAAAATTTACTTTTACACCAAATTCCGTCACACCTTCCATATTTCATTGAAATTGATGTGTCAAATATGTGAAATCGGCCGGGAATAGATATATATGGGAGCTATATCGAAATCTTTACCGATTTCCAATTAATTTGGCAAATTTATTATTGTAACCAAATTCCGCCACACATTCTGAATTTCATTGGAATTGTTCATATATATCGTGTTTGGTGCATAACACACATGAAATCGGTTTGGGAGCTACACACAAACCTCAACCGATTTTAATATAATTTGGCAATTTTTTTTTTTTTTTTTTTTTTTTTTTTTGATACCAGATTTCGTCTTTCTGTGCGAATATCATTGGAATCGGACATACATATCGCGTTGGGTGCGTCAAATATGTGAAATCGACCGAAAATATATGGAAGCTACATCCAAATCTGAACCAATTTTAATATAATTTGACAAATTTATTTTCTGATCAAAGTCCCGTCACGCATTCCAAATTTCATTTGAACCGAACATACATATCGTATATGCTGCATCAAATAAACGAAATAGGTCGAAAATATATATGGGAGCTATACCCAAATCTGTACCGATTACAATATAATTTGGCAAATTTCTGTAGTCACTCATGCCGAATTTCATTGGAATCGGATATACAAATCGCTTCTGTGCATCAAATATGTGAAATCGGCCAAAAATATATACGGTAGCTACATCCAAATCGGAACCGATTTTAATATAATTTGACTTATTTATTTTCAGATCAAAATCCCGTCACACATTTCAAATTTCATTGGAATCGTAAATACATATCGTGTTTGGTACATCAAATAAACGAAAACGGTCGAAAATTTATATGGAAGCTACATCCAAATCTGAGTCGATTTTAATATAATTTGACAAATGTATATTCGTTTTAAATTCCGTTACACATTCCAAATCTCATTGAAATTGGAGATACATAGCGTGTTTGGTACATCAAATATGTGAAATCGGCCGAAAATATATATGGAAGCTACATACAAATCTGAACGGATTTCAGTATAATTTGGCAAATTTTTTTTCCTTTCAAATTCCGTTACGCATTCTAAATTTGGAGGCTGTATCTGTAGTCGATCAATAGATATGTGCAAATAAAATCAAAAATTTTGGGATTCTGATGATATATCTCGAAATTCTCCGATTCTGATGATATATCTCCAGTTCAAGCAGAATTTCAAAAATTCTATAGCCAATGTTACTTTCAGGCAATGTTGTAATATACTTGGAAATTTTCAGGAAAATCTGTTCAGCGGTTGTCTAGTCCATAAATTAAAAACAAACAAACATCCAAACATTTTCCTCTTTTATAGATATAGATACGAAAACGTAGATCTGCTTAAGCATTTTGTTTTTTTTTTTTTTTCCATTTGAAGGCCACTTTTGAAATATCGTCCATCCAAAAAAGACATTTTAAAAACAAGTAAGCAAAGGCTATAGTCGTGCGGGGCCGACCATGTGATACCCTACAACACTGCAATATGTTAGAAGCACCCTTATGTCCAAGTCCATTTTGGAAGATTTCGCTTTTGAAATTTTGTCATGGAACACTGCCCAGATATTGCCCTTACCATTTTGACCAGGGATATTTGCGCACTCCGTCGTGCTGTTAGTTGTTGTGGTACATTTTACAGCTAAATATAATCCAATGGTCATCCAAAAAGCTAGAATTCTTCCCTATCCTTAACTCTCTTCTCAGGCATTTTTTTCTGTTTTGGTTCATTAGAGCCCCTTAATATTTTGTGATCATCTCCAAAAGCAAGAAGCCGTTCTGCATCTACAAATTTAGACCCATCTATATGATTTGCTTGTCTACGATATTTTGCTATATTCTTCAACGAAATCAGCATAAAAAAGCCAGATATTCGCCTTTTGTGTATATCGCCTGTAAGTAATGTTGGTATTTTTTTTACACAAAAGTAGTGGTCCATTCTACCCGCTGTCCTTTGGTTTCTATTTGCGACCTTATAACGGCTGCAAAATCAGGAACATTTTTCGTGGTTGGTCCATTTCAACCCCTAAATATATTGCGGTCATCTTTGAAAACAATAGCTCTTCTGAGATTAACCTACCCTTGTGAAAATTTTCGTGAAGATCGGACGATAATTGCAATCTGTATATAATAACCCTAACGTGTGTTGTAGGGTGAAAAAAATATTACAAATATACAATTCAATATTAGAAGTAAAATTAAAAAAAATCGCATGCGATAAAAAATTTGAAAAAAAAACTAGTAACAAAGCTGTAAGTTTGGCCGGGCCGAACTTTTAATACCCTCCATCATTTGGTACAAATTTGGCAATTTCCAAAAAATAAAATCCGTTAAAAATTCTGTTAAAATCTTAAAAATACCGAATGCTTATACGACGACGTGGGCCTGCATAGGCAACTTTTGTCATAAGTTATTACAATATTTAAATGCGTAACTTGAAGAAAAATCTGTTTATAATGTAGCTAAAATCATCAAAATACCGAATATGGGGGTACCGCTATATGGGGGCTACACGAAGACGTGGACCTACACAGACAATTTTCTGGCATGGGCCGAAGTATCCATTACGAACTTCACATGCGATTTGAAACAATCCCGGCAAATAATGTCGCTAAAATCATCAAAATACCGAATATCGGGGGTACGGTATATAGGGCTATATGAAGACGTGAACCTATATGACCTATTTTCTGTTTTATGGTACAGTATCTATTACGAACTTCAAATACCAAATTTGGAACGATTCCGCTAAATAATGTCGTTAAAATCATCAAAATACCGAATATCGGGGGGTACCGTTATATGGGGGCTATATGAAGACGTGGACCTACATGGCTCATTTTTTGACTTAGTATGTAGTACCCATTTCGAACTTCAAATACCAAATTTGAAACGATTCCGGTAAACAATGTCGCTAAAATCATCAAAATACCGAATATCGGGGGTACCGTTATATGGGGGCTTAACGAAGACGTGGACCTGCACAGATAATTTTCTGTCTTAGGCTGTAGTATCCATTACGAACTTCAAATGCCAAATTTGAAACAATTCCGGTGAATAATGTCGCTAAAATCATCAAAATACCGAATATCGGGAGGTACCGTTATATGGGGGCTATATAATAACTTGGACTTACATGGCTCATTTACGAACTTAACCTGCTTACTGGCAAAATATACATGTGTGCAAAATTTTAGCCTTCTATCTCAAGTTGTTCGAAAGATAGAGTGATTATAACAGACAGACAGACGGACAGACAGACAGACAGAAAGACGCGCAGACAGACAGACGGACATGGCTAAGTCGTCTTAGAATTTAACGCTGATCAAGAATATATATACTTTGTTGGGTCTGACATGAGTATTTCGAGGAGTTACAAACGGAATGACAAAATTAATATACCCTCCATAGTATGGTGGAGGATATAAAAATAAAAAATGTCACAAAATACTACAAAATCTATATTAACATCATTATTGGCATATTTTTATGCGATTTTTTTAAGATTTGATACTTTTATGCCAAGATGGCATTCAGAGTTGACAAACAATTTATCAAAATCGGTCCAGACATTCTTGAGATATAAGCATTCTATCTAACATCCCCTTCCTGTATATATACATTGTATATATTTCGCTATATATATCCGATATATTTATTTCAGAATTGACCTGTTCGTCTATTTATGATTTCGTCGGGATTAAAACTATTCGCGGTTTAATGACAAATTATACTTTTATTTAACACAAATGTTATGGTCTATTTCACCCACTAAATATTACCCGATGACCATCAAAATTGGAAGGCTTCTTCCCAGCTCTAAGCTCTAGCCCCATGCTAACTTCCGCTTTGATTGGTCTATAATTGCGACCTGTAGAGCAACTGCAAAATCAGAATTTTTTCAGTTTTTGGTCCATTTCAACCCCTAAATAGTATGCGATCATCTCCAAAAGAAATAGGGTTCCATTCTGACCCTTGACCCACCTCCATTCTAAATTTCGTGAAGATCGGGCCATAATTGCGACCTGTAGAGTAATTACAAATTAACATGGACAGAGGGACGGACGGGCATACATAGCTTGATCGACTCAGCTCGGCGAGATAGAAAGATCCATACATACTTTCCTTTGTGGGAAACCGATATTTCGAGGTGTTACATAATTTTAGGCCCAATCAAACCAACACATAGTGTTGTAGGGTATAATAAACCAATCTGAAACATAAAAATATCCTCGATTGTGGATCTTCAAAAACCAAAACAGTGAATCTTAAAAGTCTCCGGTTGAATCTTGAAATGTCCACAATTGTGGATTTTAAAGAATCCAAGATTGAGGATTCTAAAAAATCCACGGTGGTGCATCAGAAACAATCTATGATTATTAAAAAAAAACACGCACACACAATTGTGAATCCGTTTCTTTCCCCTCAATCCCAAATTGGAAAATTTGTAAGGAATTTAATAATTTTCTTTGTAAGTACCCCCACTTACACCTTAAGTACCCCACTTGGCCATATTATTGCCCAATATCGTCCTGCTTACAAAACTTACCGTTTTAAATCCTCGATACATAACACGTATTTCCTGTTTTGTAAATTTCGTTTGACGGCACAAATCCTCCAGGGCAACTGGTATTGGTTTAGGCACTCGTGTTTGTTCTAATTCGTAGACAATCTCCTCGATGGGACTTTCGGGTGGTGAAGCCATTTTTGCTGTTGGCCAACTGCAGTTTTAACAATGTTGCACTGGCGGCTGGGGTGTGTGTGTGAGAGAGAGGGAGAGAGGGGAGAGGCTGAGCTGCAACTGCTGTTGCTGGTTGCTGGTTGCTTGCTTGCGGTTGATTTAGTCCACTTCCGTTTTCCGTCTTTGTGTTTTTTTTTTTTTTCAAAAAGTTTGTGATAAATGGTTTTTGTTTCGGGTGGTTGGGGGCATGTGGGTGTGTGTGTGTGGACTTTGTTGTGTTGATAGTGCGTGGGAGCCTTAGTTTGGTAAAAAAGGAAGCTTAGTTTCAAAAGTTTTCTTTTTGGCGGCTTTAGTTTTGTTGGTGTTTTTCTATAGGTCTTTGGTGGTTTTTGGCTGCGTTTTGTTGCTGCTATTGCAACTTTTGCTTTGTAGTTGTTGTTGCTAAATTCGCTGCTGGCAAATGCAAATATCAAACGAGATTCTAATCTTTGATTTATCGATGCTTAAAATTTATTGGCATGTTTTGTAATTTCGGACTTTCGCTCCGGGCATTCATCCTTGGAAATAAATTCTGAATTTTTTTCTGCTCCTCTCCTTCTCCTTCTTCTGGGTGGTCTTCTATCTTGTGGTTGTGTTTATTTTTTTTCTTTTAATTCGATTTGTTTTTTATTTAAATACTAATTCTATGGTGTTTTCCTTTTACACCCCTCAGAAATGGGGGCGGGGTGAAGGGGGTGGTCTGTAACTATGATTGTATTTGTAAATTTATTTAAGTTTGTTTTTGTGTTGCTGTTGTTAGCTGCTCTGGTATTCGCTTTTTAGTTTCGGTTGGTTAGTTTGGTGGCTGTTTGTTGCTGTTGCAGTTGTTGTTGCCGTTTTTTTCAGACAACTTTTGTTAACTTTTTGTTTTTGTTTTAATTTCTACATCGGTGTACTTTTTTTCCTTGTTTTCTTTTAGTATGTTTTGTGTGTTTTTCGCTTTTTTTGGAGTTTCTTTCCTTTGTGGTTGCTGTTGTTGTTATCCTTGTAAATGTTACAATTCCTTTGCTTGTCTCTCGGAAACTTTCTGCAAATAAAACGAATAAAAAACAGCTAGTTAAACAACTTGAAGCATTAAATTACTGAAAATAATTTAATTTTTTTCCAAAAAAAAGAAGAAAAAAGGACAACAGCGTCAAGGACGCCATGCAAATTGATGCCCCTTGCATGACATTTATTTTGTTGTGGAAAACCATTGAAACCATTTGATTCACTTAGGAATTCGTTTCCATCAGCTTCCTAAAAATTTTGTTAATTAAGTTGATCATAAAAGAGAGTGCGTCATATGTTTTGCATGACCAGGATAATGGCCTAGGATGTCGACCAATAAAAATTATACAAAAAATACAATAAATGCATGTAAACGCTGTAAAAATTACTTTTATCGATTCTTTAAGACAGCAATCCTAACTTCGTTACAAAAAAAAGTTAAAAGTAAATGTCCTTGAAATAGCGTCAACAAGAATTCATAAAAAAAGCTTTGAAAAGCTCTTCCAAGAAGCCCTTTAAAAAAATTTTTTTTTTGTATCCACAATTTTTTTTGGCCAGAAAGACCTTAAATAACGTAAGAACTCCAAAATAAACGGGTTTTTACTAGGAAGACATTAAAAAAAAATCAAAAGTTGTTGACAAAAAATCCTTAAAAAAATATTTTTGAAATATTCTCAAATTTTTGCGTAGATGTCCTTAAAATGGCGTTAGTAAAAATGAATAAAAATGCGTTGAAAAAGTTTTGTTTCTGCTAAAATTCATTATTTTTTCGCCAGAAAGTCCTTAAATAACAAGAGAACTCCAAATTTGGAATCGAAACTCCTCCTTGGAATCAAAACTCATTTTTTTCTAGGAAGGTATTGAAAAAAAAAAAATGCCACAACTTCCTTAAAAAATATCTTTAACAAATTCCCAATTTTTTATAGATCTCCTTCAAAAGGCGTCAGTAAAAATATTTTTGAGAAATTGAGGATTTTTTGGGTTGATGTCCTTAGAATGGCATCAGTAAGAATTCTCAAAAAAGCTTTCTTCCAGGAAGCCCTTGAAAACATTTTTTTTGTTAAAAATACACCAAAAAGCCAGAAAGTCCTTAAATAAATAAATAAATAACAAGACTACTCCGAGTTTCGAGTCAAATCTCATTAAAAAATATTTTTTTTTACTACCTTCCTACCTTTTGCCACAAAGTCCTTAAAAAATAATATTTTTGAAAACTTTCCAATTTTTTGTGGCGTCAACAAGAATTCATAAAATGTTTTGAACATATTATTTCAGGAAGACCTTTAAAATATTTGCTCATTAAAAATCTATCATTTTTTTGGCCAGGAAATCCCTGATTGACATAAGAAATTCAAATTTGAAGCCAAAACTCCTTAAAAATATCAAGTATTGAAATAAAATCAATTTTTTGCCACAGTCCTTAATAAATATTTTTGAAAAAATTACATTTTTTTGTGTAGATGTCCTTCAAAAGGCGTCAGTAGAAATTCATGAAAAAGCTTTGAAAAAGTTCTTCTAGAAAGCCCTTGAAAATATATTTTGGTAAAAATCTACCATTTTTTTGTCACGAAATCCTTAAATAACATAAGAACTCCAAATTTAAAGCCAAAACTCCTTAAAAAATCAACGGTTTTGTACTTGGAAAGTGTTGAAATAAAATCATTTTTTTGTCACAGTCCTTAATAAATATTTTTGAAAAAATTACATTTTTTTGTGTAGATGTCCTTCAAAAGGCGTCAGTAGAAATTCATGAAAAAGTTTTGAAAAAGTTCTTCCAGGAAGCCCTCGAAAATATATTTTGGTAACAATCTACCATTTTTTTATTTTGTCATAAAATCCTTATATAACATAAGAACTCCAAATTTAAAGCCAAAAACTCCTTAAAAATCAATAGTTTTTTACTAGGAAGGTATTGAAATAAAATCAACAATTTTTGCCATAAAGTCCTTTAAAAATAATATTTTTGAAAAAAAATTTGTGTAGATGTCCTTGAAATGGCGTTAGCAAGAATTCATGAAAAAAGCTTTGAAAAAAATCTTCCAGGAAGCCCTTTTAAATATTTTTTTATAAAAAATCCAATTTTTTTGGCCTGGAAGTCCTTGAATAACTTCAGAACTCCTAATTTGCAAAAACTCCTTAAAAAAATATTATTTTTGACAAATTCCCAACTTTCTTGTAGATGTCATTGAAGTGGTGTTTTTAAGAATTTATAAAAAAGTTTTGAAAAAGTTCCTCTAGGAAACCCTTGAAAGTATATTTTTTTAAAAACAAATTCTCCATTTTCGTGTTATTTAAGGACTTTTCTGTTGACCAGAAAGCCCTTAAATAACACAAAAATTCCAAATTCCTAAAAAAATACGTTATTTATTTACTTAGAAGGTTTTGAAAAAAATCTTAATTTTTTGCCACAAATAATATTTTTGAAAAATTTGCAATTTTTGTGTAGGCATCAGTAAGAATTCATAGAAAAAAAAACTTTGAAAAAGTTCTTACAGGAAGCACTTTGAAAAAAAATTATTAAAAATCCACAATTTTTGGTAGCCAGAAAGTCCTTAAATAACATTAAAACCTCAAATTTGGAGTCAAAACTCCTTAAAAAATCAACGGTTTTTTTACTAGGAAGGTATTGCAAAAATCAAAAATGGTATACCACAAAGTCCATTAAAAAATATTTTTTGAAAAATTCACAATTTTTTGTGTATTCATATTCAATTTAACATTTTGTTAGGCAGAAATTCCTTAAATAAGATAAAAACTCTAAATTTGGGGCTTAACTCCTTTAACAATAAATGTTTTTTGCTAGGAAGTTCTTAAAATGAAATCAAAAATTGTAGCCATAAATCCTTAAAACAATATTTTTAAAAAATTGCGATCTTTCCTGTAGATGTCCTCCAAAAGGCGTTAGAGTGTCCTTTTAAAATATTCTTAAAAAGGTTAATGCTTAATGCGAGTTTTGGCCAGGAGGTACTTGAAAAATATTAAAAACATTGATCTTAAGCCATGAAGGCCTCAAAGTATATTTTAAGAAAATATCTTTCAAAAACTCGCAATTTTTTGGTGTAGATGTCCTTAAAAAGGACATGGTAAAAATAGCTTCGAAAAAATATTTTTTTGGCCCGAAAGTCCTTCAATTTTTTTTTTCAAAAATTTACAATTTTTTATGTCTTGAAAAACCTTTTTAAATAATACGCGATTTTTGACCAGTATATATCAAGAAGTCCTTATGAAAGTCTTTTAGCTTTTAGGGCGTTCTTTGAAAAGTTGTAATAAATATTATTTTTAACGATTCTTGGCCAGAAGATCCTCGAAAAAAAAAATAAAAAATTCGATTCTAAGCAAAAAAATTAAAAAAAATATTTTTCAAAGACTTGCGATTTTTTGCACAGACACCCCTGAAAAAACGTCAGTAAGAATTAATAATATAAGACTTAAAAAAATTAACACTTTTTTGGCCAGAGAGACCATTAGAAAAATTTACGATTTTTAACCAGGACATCCTCAAAAACTTTTATCAAAGAGTCGAAGAGACTAAGAAGACTAGTCAAGAAGTCCTTATGAAAGTCTTTTAGGACGTTCTTGAAAAATAATTTCTAATTAAAAAATAATTCATTTAAAAAAAAATAATTTTTAAAAAATTCACGGCGGTCCTTAAAAATATTTAAAATAATTGTATCTAAGCCATGAAGGTCTCATTTTTTTTTAATTCACGATTTTGTTGTGTAGATGTCCTTGAAAAGGCGTTAGTAAGAATTCATAAAAAAAAATTAAAAGATGGGAGTTTTTGGTCAGAAAGTCCTTTTAAAAAAATTCTTGAAAAAATTATTTTTATTTTTGGTACTTGAAAAGTCTTTTTAAAAATACGATTTCTATAAACTAAATGTCCAAGAAAGTCTTCTAAAAAATCCCGAATTTAAACATGTCCATTAAATAATTAAAAAAAATACCTGCAAATGTTTTAAAATGAGCCACTATTCATGGTGATAAGGTTCTCGAAAAATTCGATTGAAAAATGAACCCGAATATCCCTGAAGAATATTTTCGGGAAACCGCTAAGTGACTAAATATCTGTTTAATAATCAGCTCTACCTCTTAACAAAATACCAAATTCAGTACTATTATCTACTTTTTGTACATTTATAGTACACACTTCCAAAACCCCCTCCATATCTGAAACACAGATACCAATTACCAATACCAATTTCAGGATTCCAGCTCTATTCCTTCACCCAATACCAAATGTAATAACATTTAGTACTTTCCGAACAATTATAGTACACACTTTCAAAACCACCTCCATATCTTAACCACAAACACCAACATTGACATCTGTAACAAATTTCAGGACTTCAGCTCTATTCCTTCACCAAATAGAAAAATTAATACTATTTTGTACTTTTCGTACATTCATAGTACACATTTGCAAAACCACCTACATATTCCAACCAACAGTGACATCTATATCAAATTTCGGGATTTTAGCTATATTCCTTATCCCAATAGCAAATTTGGTACCATTTCCAAAACCACCACCATATCTCAAACGCAGATACCAAAAGTTAACTAAATATCAAATTTCAGAATTTTATCTCTATCCCTTCACGCATTACCGAATCGCACCAAATATAGTACAAATTTCCAAAACCAGCTCGTTATCGCAAATTGTATCTCTATCCCTTCATGCAAAACCAAATCGCACTAAATATGGTACAAATTTGGTACTTTTGTGGAAGACATTTCCAAAACCACCTCATTATCGCAAACCTACCATCAACAGGGACTCCAATAGCAACATTTCAATTCCAATACCTTCTTCCGTTTCCCCAAAACGGACTGGTACCAAATTGAGCACTATTTAGTACTGTTCTTACTTTTAGTACACATTCCTAAAACCACCGCGTTAAGATGGGAATATATAAAGCGCTTATTTGTCTGGCTTAAGTCATCGGCTGGCTTATTCGGAAATGAACAAAAACTGATTCTAATGGAAAATATTAGAACTTTAACACAATGTTTTCCCCAAATACCACATATTGTACC